AAACATGCGATGGGTATTTTTTTTAACAGAAGCTTTGGTTGTTTCAAATTGTGAAAGAAGGGATTTATAACCCCCCTCTGTCATTGACTTTCCTTCCATCTGTCGGTTGTGTTTTAGTAAGTGTAACAAAACTGTGCAGAGCGTATGCTGCAGACATTATGGATCACTTCATGATGTTTGCATCAAGACAACAAAAGAAAACGGTAAAACATAACTGCAGAAAATGTAACTGTGCAACATACACACCATTCTAATAACTGGTGTTTAGGGATCTCCTGGAAGTGAATGGTGTCTTCTTACGTCCATGCTTCACCAGTCTACCAAGTTTAATCAAATATGGCTGTTTATTTTATTAAGGGTATTACAGTAGTCCCTTGATTATCATGGGGGTTACGTCCCACACAACACCGCCGTAGGTGAAAAACTGTGAATTAGGAACGCTATATTTATTGTAGTATTTCTCTATATTTTAAGGTTTTATAAACACTTCTCACACTCATGCAATGTTCTAAACTCTTAAATCTATGTCATTTTAATAACATTTTTTTTTTTTTTTCATTTAGCCTTTATTTATACAGGTTAGTCTCATTGAGCCACGAGAACTCATTTTCAAGAGAGACCTGTTTAGGGAGCACATGGTGGGGGTTAAGGGCCTTGCTCATGGGCCCAGAGTGGGGCGAATGAGGGTGGGGGCAAGTGTGGGTGTTTCACCTACCCCACCCACAATTTTGATGTTGTCGGGGCCGGGGCGTGAACCGGCGATCTTCGGATCACAAGCCCACCTCTCTAACCTCTGCGCCACCACTCCCCCATGCATATATGCATGCATATATGTACTGTACAGTACTGCAAAACTTTCCTCACCAACTCTGCAGACCAGCAGCTTGGTTCTGGTCGGGCTCGGTTCCGGCTCGGTAGACCTACGACGAAGCCCTCCGCCCCGTCCAGGCTGATGTGTGCGTGGATAATGGAGCATCATGAAGCTTCAGGATCATTTGCGAGTTTCCTGCCAGTTCTGTGGGCTTCATAGATAGATCGTTACTTCTGACTTTGAGTTGCAAACTTTTCCCTCCACTTCAACCGAAAGCAGCGACCGGAGTCACGGTTGGCTTCTGGGTACTGTAGTTCTTTTGACTGGCGTTACAGTATAGGCTTATTGAAAGAAAACTACAAAATGGAGGTGCCTGTCCGAAGTTGTTTCTTTTTAAAAAACTTTTTTTATCCCGTACCGTCCCAATCACATGTAATATTAAAGTTGACAATCGTTGAAAAACCACCAAAGAACGAGTCTGCAAAGTAGCGAGGGACTACTGTAACGTATAAGCATCGAAGGTCCCAATTCAGCTATTATTCTATTACTTCTGTCATGATTTTTGATTTGCTACTCTCCCTGCAGCTTTAGGAAGCAAGGAAACACATATATAAGTGTACAGCTTGTCTGCTTTGACTTTTAGTTGGACTATATTGTATGACTTAAACAAATTAAGCAAAATAAAAAGAAAACAAGTCAAATGTTTCCACATTGTCAACTGCGGGATTTTATCAGGCAAGTGAGAAAACCCAGAGATATTAATCTTAATGATTTTTTTCTAAGATTTTTATGATGAAATGTTCATCTTAGAGGGGAATTATGTAATGTGCTTGTAGAGTTGTGCTAATTTTCCAAAACGTTGACAAAATGTACACATTATACAGATAATACATTACACAGCCAAACTCTTGACTTCCATTGTATCTGAACTCAGAGTTTTCTCCTAAAACATGAAAATGAGTTTGTTTGTAACTTGAAATGGCACCTACATAAAATACTATATACATATAATATTGACGTGTGAAGACCATACACTTCTACTTTTTACACCTCAGGAGTTTTCACCACATTGACAATTAGTTAAACTTGTTTTTCCACTTTGTGTTTCTGCTTCCACAATAAAAAGTCCAGTGAAGGCAAACACAGATGTGCACCTTCACAAATGAATATATAATTTGCACACTGAAAATGTCTGAAAACACAAAACTTTTTTTAAACTCTTGACAAAATAATTAATACAAGTTATAAGTTTTTCGTACGTATTAGAGGAGACAAACACAAAATGCAAAGCATGAAAGTAAAGTACAAAGTCTTATACAAAGTAAAAAGATTTTAATCTAAGGTTATACATTATATATATATTTTGTTTTTATTGTTTTTTTGCTATTAGTGCTTAGCATATTTTTAGTTGATATTTGTCTTAGTTCATATCTTAGATCGTATTACTGTTTTTCTTTTACATTTTATTGTTGGATGTTACTGGGACCCTGTGTACATAATCATGTGGTACATGTGGTGGAATGACAACTAAAGAACCTCTGACTCTGATATATATATATTAAAATTAAAATAAAGAAAAAATAAATGGCTGGATAAAATGTTTTGACTTTAGGCTGAAATGCAAATCATATTTCTCTTTGCTGTTCAGACTCAGCTAAAATTGAGTTTTGCTTTAGGTTTTATGATAAAAATCTTAAATTAATTTTCTATTTCAAGGATATTTTGAAAAAAAAAAAAAAAAAAAGGACCATATAAAATAAGATAACTTGATCATCAGTGACTCTTGGGTCTGTTCTTGTAGAGTCCTTGCATGAGTATTTTCCTCTTGTGTCTGCAAATGAAGTTTTTTTTTATTATTTGAGATGTCAGATCGTGCATTATGCCCTTGCTACAACTATAATGGTGTATTCTTCAAATAACTATAAACGGTTCACAGATAACACTAGATATCAACAAATATCTTTAGGAAGGACTGCGCCAAAGCAGCCATTTGACTTCACAGCGTGACATGATTGAGATGGCCCGCTATTGTCTCGGCCTCTTCTGGGCCAAAATGATATGGCCACAATGATCAATAGTCTCTGTTACACATGATTTATTTCCCATGGCTCGGCCTGTCTGCTTTGTTCCATCTGTCCCCAGTTCTTGCAAATTTCTTCTGCCTTTCATTCTCTCTCTCGCTCACATAACTTGAAGAGGCTGTTTATGCGGTGCCGGGTACAGGTTCCCTTGAGAACAGGGAACATTTGGGCACAAAATAGGTCTTGCATAACCTTTAACCTAATGTCCATGAAAGCTGATGTTTAGTTGAAAAGAATAACCAGGTTCATTACATGTATAGCCACAAAAAGGAACGAATGCACTTTTGGTTTTCAGAGGGGAATGTGTAAATGTCCCACTCCCCGTGATTAAAAATGGTGACTTTGAGAGCGCAGAGAGAAAGTAATTGAGTCGCTTGTTGGCTGAGCAAGTGGGCGAGCGAGCGAGCCTGTGGTTGAACAAGGCTGGTCTGCTTAATCAGTTCACAATAGAGAGAGAGAAAAAGTAGGAGAGGCGCACCAGTCTGACACTGTTACCACATATCTCAGAGACCATCATCTTCTAATTGTTTACTGCTGATGGAGCGTGACATGAACAATTAGATTGGGACATCAATGTGTTTCACACTTTGGTGGCGATGAGGAATACCCAGTGAGGTGGATCCTGATGCAGATAGAAGAATTGCCACGAGAACATCAGCATTTAGCGTTTAGTTTTCCCTCGCAGATTTGTTGTCTATGGATCTGGCATATGGTCGGCTGTCTTGTAAAATATGCATTTGTGCAGATTGTCTTGTTCTCGTCGTGCAGCACAGTTGTTCTCGAAATGTTACACAAATCTGAACAGTTCTTGAATCCTTCGGAGTCGGTCATAGCAAGTAAAATTAATCTTTCATTCCAAGGGATGGCTAGGATTTTTTTAAAGCTGCGTTCTGTGGAACAGCTAATATGTTAGCTGCTGTAGATAGATGGATAGTAGTTTGAACATTAGTTTTTTTAGAAAAGGTGTTTAAGTTAACTGACTGAATCAGCTAGTCTGAGCAAAGACAGTGTGGACTGCTGTCATCTCCAGAACGCTCCCGTCCCAAAAATGTCACGGGAACATCTGTGCCGATACCAGGACATTCCTGCAGGAAAAAGGTTTGTAAGCTCAATCATCCAGGTACATAACAACAATAAAGGTTAAATCATGTCATCTGGACCAGTTTCTTAAAGTGAGAAACCTTTCATCCCCCATCCAGAGGACTTCCTCAGTTTACGCTCTGCCAACCAGATAGGTAGACTTCACTGCTGTGTTTCAAGACAACCTCCTGTTGGAATCTAAAGAGCAGAACAAAACACACCCAACCTGCAGGAAGTGACCCTGACAGCATCAGCAATGGGTCTGCTGATATTATACAGGCTTGTTAAAACAAAAACCTAGAATTCTCTGTAAATATCTGTGCAGCAAGAAACTGACAGTGAAGTAAGAGCTTATTCAACAAAATGTTTGCATGATTGGAATTGTTTAAAGACATCAATAATCCACTTTGATCTTGTTAGATCATCATTCATTCATTCAATCTTTATTTATACAGGCTAGTCTCACTGAGCCTCGAGGACTCATTTACAAGAGGGACCTGTTCCAGACAGAACATATAACGTACGGGCATCAATAACAATAAACAATAATAATAAACTACAGTCAAAACGCATGTAAAATAAAAGTAGTGTTATATAACAATAATTCAGGATGCCATTAAACAAGGTAATAAAAACAAGAACATGTTTGCTTTGATCAAACTTTATGTCCTAAAAATGAGGCTGTTCAAAATGTTATCAATAGCAGGTAAGATAATTACTTTCAAAAAATCCAAACTACCAAATGCGTTTTAAAATAAAAACAGTACATTTTAAAAAGTTCTTCAGCCTTTTAGATTTCTGTCATTCAGTTTTTTCCATCAACAATTTTGCATACCCACATTCAAATTATTCTTCTTTTTTAAATATTCTGCTTCTTCATAAAATGCTTTCACAACAAATTGCATCAGAATTGTTTAGTGCATCTTCTGTGTATACTCTGTCTCTGGTGGTCTTTAAATATGACGATCAAGTGAGCAAATCTTGTGTGTGTCGATCTGCAGGTCTGTATGGTGTCGGAACCACGGAGCTGTGAGAGAACCAGCTCTGCACACGAGCATCCGGGCTCAGCAGGAAGCACCTCCTCATCCACTTCCAGGTCCAAGTCAGACGCCATGTGGGTCAGATGCCTGCTCTTCATCTCAACCTTGATTGCCCCCATCGCCGTCGGTAAGAGACAAATCTCATTCATTTCATTTCAGTATTTAGGAACTGTGACAGGGATCAGTTTTGTTATTTCATATTTATATCTTAAAATTTATGGAACTTTGAGCTTCTCGCAAAAGATCTCATGACGTTCCAGTGGCTTTCAAACTCCAACATTTATTACGGCAAAGACTGGTTCATCCAAAGATCCAGTCCCCCGGCACAAACAGAGTAATGTTGTGTATGCTGTTCAGTGTCAGGAGGGTGATCAGTCTTACATCGGGGAAACTAAACAGCCACTGGCCAAAAGGATGGCCCAGCACAGAAGATCAACATCATCAGGCCAGGACTCTGCGGTCTACACTCATCTCCAGGCCAGCGGTCACTCTTTCAGGGATGACGATGTTCACATCCTGGACAGAGAGGAACGATGGTTTGAGAGAGGAGTGAAAAGAAAATAAACCACCCGTCATTAAACAGGGGTGGAGGCCTCCGTGTTCAGCTGTCACATTTTTACAATGCTGCTATTGCTAGCATCACTCAGCCCTCTGTGAACAGCAAGCGGCCACCAGTGCACTAACAGTCAGTCGTTAGGCTGATGGTCCTCCTTTTGCAAACTGACTGATCCACTACGAGAAGGTGCTGTTTATAAGACTGAAGAGCTCGGCATACTCAAACCGAAGTGCCAAAATCAGCTCTCACTGACGTCGTTGCACGATGAAAATTGCATCATTTTATTCTCGGAGCAGCTTCGACCCCTTACAACACGAGGCATTGACAGAACTTTTTCTCACAGGTGTACGCAGTGAGTATTGTGTGGTTGGTCAGAAATGTGTGGGCATGTTTGTTACAGCAAAAATGCGCTTGGACATTCTGCTGTAACAACTCTTTAAACACTAAATTAGTCAAATGGCCTAAAACTCCTGGAAGGAGATCATGCACACATTGTGCATGGAGGTATCTGCTGAAAAGGGTGGTGCTTTCTTCATGGCCAAACGGTGGGTGCAGGGACGAAGTGGAGACCCTGGTGGGAAGAAAGCCATGCAGTGATGTTTACTGATGCAGGAGGGATTTCCCTGGAGCTGTGCATCTGTCTTGTTGACTATGAAGGTGTGTGCGACAACAAATGTCCTGCAACCACATGACTGCACGTCGACTGCTTCTTTGAATGGAGTCAGACCCTTGAGTTTGTTGCAGCTCCTCAGACTGAAGAAGACTTTTGGATTAAAGACGAAACGTTTCAACAAGAAGAATCTGTCCAGGGGACCTGACTCAACCTTCTTAGATTCACACAAAAGACATTTAACTTCATTTTTCGTTACTTCTGGAACAAGAAAACAAGCGTTTTAGAACTGAGTTTTATGGCAATTGTTAACCAGTTTTGTGAAATGTGATGGTTTTATGTGTTCTGCTTAGTGCAGAATTGTTCCGTCTCATTTTAACACAAACCCATTTAGAAGTGCATTCTTACTTAAAATACTTTTTTGTTTGATTTGCTTTTAGTTTCTTCATGTGACACTTTTCATGCACGTTCTTGCACTAAAACAAGTTTTTGGAAAAATGTGTTGAAACAGCGGCTTTTAAAGTGAGGTTTGGTAGAAAGGTTATGAACAATTAGTATCCTACCTGTTGCAGATAGCTTCTTGAACAACCTCAGTTTGAAAAAAATAGTTAAAATCTAAATGGATTGACGAGCTAATGGATAGTTCAACTGGTGCTAGTGCCAAAGTGGATTGCTGCCATCTTAAAACAACTCATGCTCTTACAGTTTCACAGTAGTTCATGCAAACACTCTTAATAACTAGTGGTGTCCCAATACTGATACAGGTATCAGTTCCAATACTAGCCACATGTACTCGTACTTGTACTCATAGACGCACCTCAATATTTTAAAGCGAGACCACATTTAAGCTTGGTGATGTCAGTTCCTCTTCCACTTTGCAAGCAACTGTAGTTAAGAAACAATGTCCGTAGTTTAGATATAGGTGATGTTAAGACAGCAGACTGGTTGCTATGTTCTTAATAAAATTAACATGTTTCTAAAGTCATTGTGCAATGTTTAAGTACTAACTCATGAACTACTCTGTATCGGTGCTTAGTATCAGCAAGTACCCAAACTGAAGTACTTGTATTCTGTATGAATAAAAAGAAAAACTAATATCAGGACACTTCTATTTAAGTATTCCACAATTATTTGCTTAGAATTTTATCATTATTTGCGAGTGCAAACACCAGCAGCAGCAGCAGCAGCAGCAGCAGCAGCTAGCTGTAGCACTTCTGGTACATCACAGATACACATCTGGTAGGAATATCATATGATTTTTTTTTTGGCCAGAAACATTGTGTACTGCAAATTTAACAGATTTGGAAAGGTTTATAAAGTAGAGTTTGCATCAACCATAGTGATCTTGGGGCCATTATCTCATCAATCCAGTCAGAATTTGATTTATTCAAACTGTTCAAAGAGTTATCTACAACAGGTAAGATTTTATTTGTTCATAATCTTTCCACAAAACACCACTTAAAATACAGAATTATCCTTTTTAAAGTTTTATTTTTATTAACCACTAGAAATGATTTGTTTTAATTTTCTGCTTCATAGCTCTTATTTAAAAACATGTAAGAAGAAAACAATTTGTTCAAAGTACAAAATCAAATCAGGTATTTCATTACTCGGTTCTGTCTCCTCTTCCTCCCCCACACCCTCAGTGATGCACTAGAATCTGCAACTGCAAAATAAAACCAGCAACACACATTGAGTCTGGACACACATGCAGAGTTCAGCTGAATCCCCAGCAGGTCTTCTGGACGTTTCCTCCTCTCCTCCCTGTCTTTGAGCTTCCAAGACTTCAAAAAGAGAGCTATGGCCCACTTGGACTTAATCCCATTAATAGCCGCCGTCAATCACTCTCTGCCGCTGTGTACTTCTTCACATGCCTGCTGCCACACAGATGAAATCCTTTAAATGCTGAAATGCTCCGCGCCCACATGGACACTCTCTCAGGCACACACGGGGAGCGCTCGCAAGCAGGCAGCTACTTCAGCGCACAAACAACGGGAGCTTTGCTTTTAACACCGAGAGATCCGTTTCAATCAAAGGTGTTTACATCAAGGTCTGAAGAATAAGTTGACATATGCAAATTATTGTGTTTACGCTGTTTGTACTTAGCGAGGATTAGCTGAAGCATAGACTGTTTAGATTCAGGATACACAGAAGCATGCACTTGACCTTTACAAGCAAGCTGAGGTTTGCTATAAAGACAGAACTCTTAAAACAAACACACACATATATATGTATATATACATACATATACTGTATACAGTCATCCCTCGCTATATCGTGGTTCACTTCTTGCAGCTTCACTGTATCGCAGGTTTTTTAAACCTGTCCATGGCATGCACTGTACATGCTGTTCAGTACTGTACATACTTCTCACCAGCATCATCTTCATCACCATCACCAAAGTGTTTAAGAGCATGTGAAGTGTTTAGAAGAGAGGGGGTAAGGTACGAAGGCGTGTGAGAAGGCTTTATGAAGCCTTAAGTCTATATAAATAATAAAATAAATGCAACATCGCTACTTTGCAGATTTTCACCAACCGCAGGGGTCTCTGGAATGCAACCCCCCATGATAGGTGAGATTCCACTGTATAGACATATAGCTCAGTGGTCTGTTGTTGTGTCAGGAAGGGCATCTGTCATAAACACAATTGCCAAGTCTTCATGTGAGTTAGTTCATCTTGGCGAGCCTAGAAGAAGAGAGCAGCTGATAAAGGAAGAAATAGACAGTAGTCCCTCGCTACTTAACGGTTCGTTTGTCGCGGACACGCTCTTTCACGGTTTTTCTGAATAAGATTGGACATGACACGCTGATTGATTGGATTGACGGATGAGCCGCACGATCGGCATGGAATTTGTATTTCAAATAGATTGTTTTAAATGATTTAGCACCTGCTGCACCTTTGTGCAGCCCAGAGCTGCAAGAGAAGCTTCCTCCTGCAGCATATCAGGATCTCCGCTCTGCAGCAGAGAAGTGGGCGTGGCCGAGAGCACTGGCAGGTGGCCGAGAGCTGAAATCATGACATGCTGTGCTCTTTTAGAGCGTTTAGAGTTTAGAAATTTTTTTAGGGACATTGCAAGTGTGGGAAGGGTTTAAAACACCGTTATACAGTACATACCTGTATATAAGTACTCAAATAAATTACTCCTTAATACTACTGCCTCTACTTGTGTACATCATTTTGTTCCATGACAATAAAGTTTACTTGAACTTGAACTATTGTATCCCTAATTCGCGGTTTTTCACTTATCGCGGTGGGACGTGGTCCTCTAAACCCCACGATAAACGAGGGACTACTTTGTATATATAGCTTGTTTATGTATTTATCGTTTACTAACCCAACTTGAAAAAAGTTGAGATAATGTGTAAGATGTAAATAAAAACAGAATGCAATAATTTCTTAATGTTATAAAGCCATATTGTTTTCACAGTGTAACATTGTAAACATATCAATTGTTAGAGGAATTGTTTTTTTTATGGATAATAATAAAGTAATTTTGATTTATTGGCAATAACACATTTTAAATAATGTTAGGATACAGGCAACAGAAAGCTGTAAAAGTAAGTATGAATAAAAACAGCTGGAGGCGCATTTATTGGTTCATTGGAAGCAAGACTGGGTTTAATAAAAGCATTTTAGAGAGGCTAAATATTTCAGTAAACATGAGCAGAAGTGTATGAGTAAGTTAAAAATGTGTCTAACATGGAACAATTTAAAAAAAAAAAAATGTTGCTCAACAGAAAATTTAATATTCCATCATCTAAAGTTCATAAAAACATTAACCAATTTCAAAAGTCAAGCAGAGGAAACCTCTGTGCACATAAGACAGGGCCCATTTTTTTAATTTATTTGTTTAATAGTGACATTAATATTTTAAGAGAACTGCAGTCAGTGCCTCATTTAGTCATATTTTAAAGAGCAGCTCCACCTTTTTGACGTTCGTTCACACCGTCAGGTGACAAT